CCAACAGCAAAATCATGCAACATAACTATCTCGCAGTCTTACCAAGTACTCATAAAATGCACCAGATGGTTCAGTTTTGAAAAGGTGCGGGGTACCATCAAAATCAAAGCCTCCAATAAGCATCGATATACCAAAAGGCCTTCTGCCAGGACTTTGAGTAAACCGCTGTAAAAAAATTCAGAGTTTAACACTTAGATTCAATTGAGATTACATTGCGATGGCTAACACTCGCCTGTTTTGTATTCGCTATAAACCTTGCAATATTGCCTACTGTAACAGGATCTTCTAATGTCAATTTGTACGACTGGCATTCAATTCGGGCTTTATCTACAAGAACACGAGCATCTGCACTTAAACCTGCAAAAAATGAGTTTAAGTGTCCTAAAAACACAGGAAGAAATGTCTAGCCCGTAGGGTAAGAAAGCGCATGACAAATCTTGCAAGTATTGTTAAACAAATAAAGAATAAGTGCCATCTTTACACCATTCTGTACAAAAACACATCCGATATCACAAGAAATAACGAAAGAATTCAGTTATATAAGCTCCCAAAAGCCAAAAATGGCTATTTTCAAGCCTTAACAAAAAAAATTGGCTGGACAGAAAAAACCTTAAGTTCACAGAATTTTCAGCCACTGCAGATGACATTTCTTGAAACCGTTAAGAAAAAAATTTCTAAAAAATGATTCAAAGCAGACCAACCGGCAAATGCTAACATAACATGATCGTCAATGCTGTGTATTTTTCGAATAGTGCGATCATCTTGTAAAGTCGGAATCGACTTTTTTTCAACCCCGATTACAACACAATTCTTTCCTACCACGCCAATCTGAACACAAAACTTCAAAACAAAATAAATCACATAAGAATTAAAAAAAGTATCTTAAACAAAAAGCAAATTTTGTGGTATAGAACACAAGAAATTTACAGCTGTAGATCCCTTTTTGACTGCTTCCTGAGCATATTCAACTTGGAAAAGGTGACCATCCGGTGAAAAAATAGTTATCGCACGGTCATAGCGCTCCATTTTGAAAACCCCTGAACAAGGAAGAAGTATTTATTTCAAAAGCAAACAAACAATATGGATCAAAATAGAGGCTAATAGGCTACGAATCAGAAACGTAAATTAGTCTCTCAATACGTAACAGCGCAAGATGGAGCATGAACACAAACGCATCAGTTTCCAAGAAGCTTTAAAAGGATAAACAGTAACCTACAAGAAGGCAATAACAACCCACTCAACATCCGACATCATTACTAAACAACTTCAACTCCCCCGTACAAACACTTTCCTAGATAGGAGGCACCATACTTAATGGGGCACATCCCGTAAGCACTGACCAAAGCAAGCGAGGAGACCCTGACTTAAAAAAAACTGACCTAAAATTTTTCCGGTAATCCGGTACAAGCGATTAATTTCAGAAAATCAAAATTAAGCCGGAAAGATTGACTCATTAAATCGTTTGCCTGACTTTTCCCTTCTAACACCTGAAGCCAAAAAATTTCAAATTCTAGCCAAACAAGATCATGGCTTGGAAGTTAACAGCCACGGTCGTTCACAAATTACATGCAACGCCCCCTTACCTAGGAAATTCCCAAAAAGTTAACAATGTATCTTATATGAACTGAAGGCAGTTGGCTACTTGCTAAGGCTTCCTGCCACGATCTGATTCAAAATCATCCACGCAGCGCTAAACCCAGACATAACAACAGGACTGACCAGTTTCTAACTGCTACTAATACTGCATTATTTCTCATTCTCATTTCTCCTTCCAAAAAAACAAAAAGTTGTATTTAAAAAATATAGAAACATGACTTGAATTTGACTTGCCCAAACCGTAACTCAAACGCCTGAAAAAACTGTTCCTGGAGAGCTTGACCTCCAACTTCCTTATCAAAACACACTAACTTCAGTTAAACCTAAATGCGAAGTCAAACTAACAGGGGAACAACAACGATGAAAGCTGATTCTGACCTACGAATGAAATAATTTCAGAAATTGAAAAATTTTAACCGCACGATCAAACGCAAAGAATAACACAAAAGTGTTGGCAGGAGTCCAAGTCCCCAAAACACCAGTCCTACAAAGAAACGGATCCAATGTAAAACATGTAAAAAGCAGAAGTTGAGGAAGGCATGATAACAGGTTTAGTATCAGTTCCAAACGCAACAAAATTTGAATGTGCCGTGAAGTATATGGCGAGCTTCTACAAAGGAGGAACGACAGTAATGAAGAGGTAAATTTTGGCAATGGTGGGTTGCATCTCAACCTCTCTATTTAAGTTTCTGAACCTTTTCACCACTTGCTTTTCAGAGTAATGGGCGTTTCTCTACAAAACAAAAAGAACATTCTTAGAAATTCGTTTACGCTGTTTCAAAATAACTACTTTGACTTACTTTCTGCGTCATTTTTTAACGTTCTTTATCCGCATGCAGCAGCTTTACTTCTGTTTTTAAGGTGACTGCAGTTGATTTTTTTTTTTTGCATAAATGTTTTTTTTTAATGAATTTTATTTTGCAGTGGCCTTGTGTATATTTTTCTTCAGTATTTACTCGTGAGAGTATGCAGTTTTTTCCTTTCCTTATTTTACTAAATTCGCAGCAATGAGTTTTTCGAGACATACAGAAAAAAATAACAGTGAGAAAAAGCAGTCCGCAACAAGGACTGCTTTTTCTCACTGTTACTGTAACGCAATATGCAAGGTGCCATATAAGAAATAAACTTCCGAACAGTGACCTTCAATTTAAACCGGCTGCAAAACAAGCACCGTTGAGTTTCTACAAACATTTTAAAACAGAACTTGGGACAGCATTGCTTTGAAGATCTGTTAGCCAAGTCGTGCAAAAATATGCTGTTACAAATTTGAACGGTTATGCTGAGCCCCCACGCTTGTAATTGTACAAGCCTGAAGACGGTTAAGGTTTTTTCCTCTTTTGTTGTGCCGTTGCTCACCAAGTCGAATAAGCGGTGACGGCTCCAAAATGAGCTGCTGCACATCCACGCTGCAAATAATATTAAAAGCACAGTAGTACTTCAATGTCTTGTACTGCTAACGTTTGAATTCATCCATTTAAACGCTTGAAGGGGATTATTGGGGTGACAATAAAGGGGATCGAGAAATCTGCTCAAGGAAATCACATGCTACTAAAAGTTTAGCAAAAGGAGTACTATGGAAAGAAAGAAGCAGCAAATATTGTCTTAAAGAAATCTGCTGGATCGTTGCAGCAAAGGAACTCGGTATTATAATAGGTTAAAGACGCACACCACTACAAATTTGGAAATATTGTGCTGAAACCGGGAGTTTTTTTCAAAAGAATGCATGTAAATTACTGATTCAAAAACAGTACAAAAGCAGTAAAAGTTAACATAGTCCTGGGGAGAAATGTTAAGGTGTTGGAAGAAGAACACTGGTAAATGCACTTCAGAGAAAAGACGCCATATCGATAACACTTGAAACAAAAAGTGAAGAACACGTTTCACGCTCACTTTTGAGTTTTTTTACAAAGACAATGTAAAGCATATCATTAAAAAAATGCTTAAATGAGATATGTTAGGAGATGAACAACTGTAACCTGACACAGTACCCTTAGGGGCTGCCGGAACGTTAGGCAAAAGAAATTATTATCGGGTAAATAACATATACCTGTAAGAATTCAGCGGGAAAAATTGTAACAGATGAAAAAAAAAGCCTTGATGAACAATATCCAGTTCCTATTTGAAGGGGACCAGGAAATTTATTTTTAAAAATAAAATATATTAATGAAAAGTGATGAGTAGGAAAATAGGAAAGAATACAAAAAATAGAAAAAAAATGATTTCTGGCGGAAAGAAAATAGAAGAATTCTGAAAAATAACGTACGACAAAAGAACACTCATTTGAATAACCGCTCTGAAAACAAGAGAACAAAGAAAAAAACACAGGAGAGGTGGCGCGATCACAAACACCGCCCGGGCTTAATCCGTATCCAGTTCTCAGTTCCATGCCTATGTTAGCAGGGACTAGTTCCTGAATAATTCAACGGCAAGCTTTCCAATTAGGAAAACGTAGTTGTTGCCGATGACACCGCTGGGGCACTGACAAAGTGATGTTACAAAATGACATAAGAGCCGAAATGAAAATTCCGCATCAGGTCGCTAAAAGCTCAACGACCAACCTGAACTTGCCTCAGATGAATCATTCCGGGCAAAAAATCTTTCACGCAGAAATTGAAGGTAGGTTAACACTGAAAAAAGCACTTCTGGGACTGGGCACACTTGTCTGCCATAGATATGCCAGTAACATCCTGGGTAAAAAAAATGGAATATTTCAAAAAAACAAGTACTATTCCCAAGGTAAAAATCAAAAAAGATAACTGCTAGCAAGTCGTACCATGCAAAAAAAAACCGCAAAATTTATTAGTAAAATTAATATACACCAGTAAAAGTTGGAAAAAAAGGAAAAAATAATAAGAAAAATATTGCCTTAAAAAAGTTGCTGGACTGTAAAAAAAAAAAATCTAGCGACAAAATAAGCATTACAAAACTTAAAGAACGAATTCACTGTTCACTTTACTCGCTTTCCGCGGGCTTCGTGCTTCTTATCAACCTTCTCCTCTATATTGTTCTATCAAAAAGATTTTCCCTCTACTTATCCATAGTTTTTTCTTGTACTCAATACTGCAGACTGCACCACTTTAAAGGTAATTTGTAATGCTCCATCGCACCTTGGTATTAATTAAATAATTTCCTCGTCTAAACCGTCCTTTCTCACAGCCGCATGTCTATAACAGGTCTGGTCGCCATCTGCCATCTTATGTTCCGCTTTTCTCCCGCTTACATTTCAAGATCAACAAGGAAAATGTCTTCTCACATTTTTCAGCGTATTAGTAAAAAGCTTTCTGGACAGTTTCATTGAGCATAACACATCTTTACTACAAATGAAACTACAACCTAACCTGAGCTCTCGAATACAAAAAACTTCGGTTTGTTAGACAAAGGCATTTCCATCTAACAATGAATACAAATCGGCTATAAGGTCAAAAAATGAGAGAAGAAAGTTAGTCTTATGCGAGCCATAAATCGTCACTTTTATCATCAAGCAAGCTTTCAAAGCAACAAAAACTAAATGTCACGTCTCTTGGTACCTCCACGTAATTCAGGCGAACACTTAACATTCGTTTGCTAAAATAAGTCACTTTCTTTTGACACCCCCAGAAAAAACTACTCTAAGTGAAGCTCAACTTGAGCAAACCGCACCAGTGCCACCTGAACCTAATGATAATTCCCATCCCTTCCACTGATTTTCTTTCATGGCAGCGATAACAGAAATGCAACGGTTACAGGTCTGAACGAAACAGTGAAACCGCTGGAGTCTACGCCACTAATGACAACGTTCCAAAGGTGCACCGATGACTATTGGTCATCAAGTTTCTGTATCCAGCAAAGACTGGTGAAAGAATTGGGCAAATTGCACATATTATAGGATTCGGGCATCCTTCTCTCATGTACTAATACTGTACGAGGAATTTGTACACACCATTCTGGCGGGTTGACTGCTTGAGAGTGCTTTTTCTCACACTGTGGACATTGATTGCAGCACTATAACAACGTGTATAGTTGCAATTATAACGAAGTGACGACCATAAAACGACAATTACTTTTTGAATTAAATTAGCGCGCGAAAACAGAGCGTACAAATCTTAAAACTGTTCCGAACGAGTACCGTTGGTCAGCTATAACTCCGATTAACTTTTGTTACTAAAATTGTAATTGTCTTTTGGTTTCTGAGACAGTGGATTTTCTTTCCGATTTTCAATTTTCATTTGAAGCATAACATTCTGTAGAGTGGAACATTAACTGAAATAGCGAGCATGATTGTTGCTGTTAACTTAACTTCTGGAGCCTGTTAATGAAGCAGATAAAATGCGCTTTGGTCGATTTGTTTTGAGTGCGTTTCTAGAAAGGAAAGCTTTCCAGAACCAGTGTTAAATCTTGTGGACTTTGGAGAGAAAAGATTATTAAGAAGTTTTTCAACACCGGTACTGGAAGTCCATTTTGTGAAATCTACATTCATATTTTTTTTTGTGTGAAACAAATAATTTAATGACAGTATTTTACAGATAATTTTTTAAAATGGCTGAGCCTGAAAGCAGTCAAGGTATTTTTTTAGTTTTCATGAAACAGGAACTTTTGTTTAAATTTTATATTACTTATTGTAGAGTTGTCATTATCATATTATGAACTGCTCGTTATCTTCAGGAGCGAATGGAGAATCATCGCAAAGCAATAGCCGGGGACCTGATATCGAGTTTGAAGAAATCTTTGGTGGTGATGATGCTCCTGCCGAAGAAGAAGAGGAGGAAGAAGGGGAAAACCTCTTTGGCGAAAATATGGAGAGGTAATTTTCACTTCTTTTATGATGCCTTTGAGATAGGTAGTTCTTTCTTGCAAGACCAGAAAACTAGTAAATTAGCAGATGAGAGTGAAATTAACTTTAACATTTGGCTTTTTTCCGAAAGAGAGGGTTTCATATAAAATCGATTTTTAGAGACTATCGCCCTCAGCCTGAGTTAGATGTGTACTCGGGGTCTGGTTTGGATGATGACTCTGAGTTGCAAGAGTTATCTCCTGCAGCTCGTCGAGAAGCAGAAATGGAGATGGACCGGCGCGATAATGTTGCTGATGATCTAGGCTTGTTTTATGAACAGGTTAGTAACACACCACTTCTGTTAATGGTGCACTGTTCTTGAGGTAAAAATGGCTAGCGAGTGAATACCATAGGTGTTGTTTCACGTTCCTAAAAGTTTTTTCGATTGTTCCATAGATTTTTAAAAATTTTATTTTACCGGTTACAGGATGATGAGCGTGAGACACGGAGCAGGCGCAGAAGATTTGGACGACGGGAAGAGGATATAGGTGAAATGCCAATGGAGGAGGAGGAAATGCCTATTGACATATTAGAGAATATGAGGGGAAGATCCACTCGTGACCACGTTAAGGACGAAGCTGTTGGCAAGGAAATTGAAAGACGGTATTTTTTCGCTACATTTTAGAGCTAGACATGTATCAGACCACTTTTTCATTCGTTATTTACTTGCGAGGGTCTTTAATTGATAAAAGCTATTTGCAGTTTTAATAGTTTTCTCCGTGCCTACAAGGACCCTGAAACTAAGAAGCTGAAATACATCGAAGCTATAAAACTAATGGTAGCTGACAATCGGGAATCGTTAATTGTTGACTATGATGATTTAGCACAAGAAACTGGAGAGCAAAATATTTGCTATTTCTTGCCAGAAGCTCCAGCTCCTGTTAGTTTAGTTTCTTATTTTTTTCTATGAATATTCCAGTTGATACTGTAGTGAAAAATTGGGGAATAATTAAGGTCCTTTCTCGCTTGGATCGTGCAGCCACGGACGTTGTTTTAATGATGTATCCGTATTACACTCGTATCACTCCTGAGATAAAGGTAAGAGTGAGATAAATTCCCGTCCGCTTTTCGTTACCCCAACCTTAAAAATGCGAACCATTTATCGTTTTAAGGTTCGCATTCGCGGTCTGCCGGTCGAGGAAGAAATCCGGATGTTGAGACAGGCGCATTTGAATATGCTAATCAAAGTAACTGGCGTGATGACAATTACTACAGGTGTACTTTAAGTGTCACGTTTTATTGCAACTTTCATTTCTCTAATGTTAAATTAAATATTTTTTAAACACCTCTCAATTTTTATGTAGGTGGTTGACTTTGTCTACGAGTGCTTTCTCATTTGATTGTTAGCTTGCTTTTTTTGATACTTTTATTTCTTGACCAGGTATTCTGCCGCAGCTCTCCATTGTTAAGTTTGATTGTACCTCTTGCGGCTACCTGCTGGGACCATTTTTACAACGGGAAGATGAGGAAGTGAAGCCATCGACATGCCCATCTTGTCAGAGTAGAGGACCGTTTGAACTAAACATGGAAGAAACAATATATCGTAATTATCAGCGTATAACTATACAAGAGGCCCCAAACACCATAGCCGCTGGGCGTCTTCCTCGAAGTAAAGACGTGGTTCTGACTGGCGATCTTTGCGATTCTTGTAAACCAGGAGAAGAGATAGTAGGGCATTTCTTTACTTCAGCGCATGTCTTTTTCTTGGTCTTACAGCCCAATTTTTCTAGACAGTAACTGGCATATATAAGCTCGTCCTTGACATGTCATTGAACAACAAACAAGGGTTTCCGGTCTTTAACACTATTATTGAAGCTAATCATATAGACAAGAAAGATGGTATTGTATCAGACAGTCTCACCGATACAGACATTGAGGTATAGTTATAATTTCTTCTGCAATATACTGGTTGACCTTCCGCTGTATAGTCTCATAACAAGGTTTTTTAGGCATTTTTTCGTTATAAGTGTTTATTTTTTTGGGGTTTTAATTTTTCCTCACACGTAGGACCTATTTGGAAGCCAGTTGGTAAGTGAGCCAGTTTAGAGAACAAGGCTAAAATAAGTAGCCATATTCCAGTTGCTCTCCGTAGAGTATTCTTTTCAGACTGATTTAGAGTATCGTTTCTTGGAATTGAAATTGTGGAAACCCACGGGAACACTGAGGATTTGAGTGCTAATTTATATTCTTTTTTCATTGTATATGTGTTTCTGTAATTTTTTAATTCAGGCTATACGAGACTTATCAAAGGACAGCTCCATTTCTGAGAGAATTTTTGCAAGCATAGCGCCTTCTATATACGGACACAAAGATATTAAACGTGCTATTGCTTTAGCGCTTTTCGGGTAAGTAACGAACTGTGAGACGAAGTCATGCTCTGGAAATTGGTTTTCATTTCTGTTTTCTTTGTTACGTTTCACTACCTTTAATGTCGGTTCTGTTTATGTGTTGTTATGGAAGTTGGCGTTACAAGTAATTTGTAGTGGTGAGCACAAGGACCCTAAACAGAAACACAAGCTTCGAGGAGATATCAATGTGTTGCTGTGTGGTGATCCGGGTACCGCAAAGTCACAGTTCCTAAGATATGCTTCTCATATTGCTCCCCGTGCTGTATTAACTACAGGACAAGGTTTAGTTCCTTATCATCGCATCCGTCTGCGTTAGTGTATGATTATTGTCTCAATTAAGGGGCTTCTGCTGTTGGTCTAACTGCGTACGTTCAGCGCCATCCTGTGACAAAGGAATGGACACTTGAGGCTGGAGCAATGGTTCTCGCGGATAAAGGGGTCTGTCTCATTGATGAGTTCGACAAGATGAATGACCAGGTTTTTCTTTTCCATTATTTGTTTTTTTCCTTAATGTTATACTTTTTTTTAAAAATACAGGTTTTGATTGCAGGACAGAACATCTATACACGAGGCAATGGAACAGCAGTCGATCTCGATATCGAAAGCTGGGATAGTGACTTCTTTGCAGGCGAGATGTACTGTAATCGCTGCAGCAAACCCAAGTGGAGGCAGATACGACCCGTCTCGGACATTTTCGGATAACGTTGATCTCACCGAACCAATCTTGAGCCGTTTCGATGTTCTCTGTGTTGTTAGAGATATTGTAAGCTTGAATCTACTAATCATTAATTGAATGTGAGTACTGTTTAGTTAAACGTCTATTGTTTGAGGTTGATTCGGTAGAAGATGAAAGACTTGCCAAATTCGTTGTAAGTAGTCATCGGAAACTACACCCTAACGCGCTTGCTAGGAACTTAGATAATGATGACACAAATACGGTCAGAAGTTACTGTATTTCCTTTTTTGTATGCATACACTTAATTTGCCTGCAATTTTTAAATTATTTTAACTGTTGCAGAAAGGGAAAGAATTTGATGTGGAACTAATCCCACAGGATCTACTCCGGAAATATATAATTTATGCCAGGGAACGTGTTCATCCAAAATTGGAGTTGGTGTCACACGAAAAAATAACGAAACTCTACACTGAGCTGAGAAAGCAGTCAAAGGTAAGTAAACCCTCACTTAAGCAAAGCCTCTTTTTGTCCAACAGTTCTTTCAACCGAACTTTTGAAGTCTACTGGAGCAGTTGCGGTCACAGTGCGACAGATTGAGTCTCTAGTGCGTCTTGCTGAAGCGCATGCCAAACTACATCTTCGGAATTATGTTTGCGAAGATGATGTTGACGTTGCAATATCGGTGATGCTGGAGTCATTCATCAGTACACAGAAAGCGAACACTGTTAGATTCATGAGAAAAGTAATCCATTTCACTTTCTATTTTGAAGCTCGCATCTTTGAATCCTGAGCTTTTTTTATTAGAAGAAGCAGTGATAATTCCTTTTAGGTATTTTCAAAATACTTAAATGCTAATCGTGACAACAACGAGCTTTTGCTGTTCTTGTTGAAACAACTTGTGCGAGACCAGCTCAGATATGAGCAGGCTCGTGGCCAGGGGTCTGAAGTTTCAGCTGTTGCAGTTCCAGAAGAAGACTTCGTTGACAGAGTACTTTTTCAGTTCTTTTTTTTTTTTTTTTTTTTTAGCTACCTGACAGTCTGGACCTAATTTTTTAATTTTAGGCTCGGCGGATGCGTATTGAGAATGTTAAGAACTTCTATCGGTCTCCTGTCTTTGTTTCGAATCATTTTATGTACGATTCTGCCCGAAAAGTCATTGTTCAACAGTTTTTCTGATCTGTGTGAGATGATTTCACGGAAGAATTTACCTTTTTCTAATACATAGTTTTGAGTATATCTGAAGTGGAAAATGTAGTTCATTTCTCCACTCTCTGTTTTTTTTTGTTGGCTGTAAATTCCGAGAAGCCCATGAATTTGGACGATGAGCTTCTGATTTGTTTGCTACGCTGATCTTTGTATTTCCTGGGATGTTGTATTGGCGTTCAAATGAGCAGCGTTTGTTTTAGCCTTCTGGCTCAGACGTCTACGTATTTGCGCTACGGAGCACCAACCAATACAAAAAGCTCGGTTTTTTAGTGCATGCTATTGTTACTTCCTTACTCCACAATATTTTTTGCTGTATCCGTTTTTTTTTTCTTTGATTTCTTTTAGTTGAATGTTAAGGGAAGAGCTACGTAGTGATTGTGAATGGCGTGTTGTTTGCTTTTTGTATATAAGCGGAGAACTTTATGGAGGTTTTGACTGAACAGTCATCAATAAAGGTTCCCCAGGTTTCTTCCAGCTTTGAATTGGTCATTCGAGGTCTTTAATGTCTGCGTGCTTCGAGGGTGTTTTTTTTTTTT